CACCAACATTCTCAGGTCTTACCACTAACACACCAACATTCATCATGTCTTACCTAACACACCAACTTTCATAGTGCTTACACTAACACACCAACATTATCAGGTTTTACACTAACACACTCAACTTATCTGGCCTTACACAAACCACCAAATTCATCGTGTCTTACACAAACCACCTCAACATTCATCAGTGTCTTAACAAAACACCCCAAACATTCATCATGTCTTACAAAAACACGCTCAACATTCATCAGGTTTACACTAACACACTCAAATTCATCATTCTTACACTAACACGCTAAACATTAAACAGTGTTTTACACTAACAACCAAACATTCACAGTTTTTACACTAACACATAAAATTTCTCGTGTTTTAACTAACCACACTCAACCTTCCCAAAAGGCCTACCCCCTAACCACTCAACATTTCAGTGCCCTTACACTAAACCTCAACATTCATCAGTGCCTACACTAACACACTCAAAACATCGTTCCTACACTAAAAACCTCAAATTTCATCAGTGCCTACACTAACAACTAAAACATTCATCAGTGTCCACACAACACACTCAACTTTCATCATTTCCCTACACTAACCACTAAAACATTCATCATGTCCACACTAAAAAACCGCCAAATTCATCGTTCCTACACTAAACACTCAATTTTCGTCAGTGTCCTACACTAACACACTCAACTTTCATCAGGCCCTACCACTAACACCTAAAACTTTCATCAGGTCCTACACTAACACACCAACATTCCAGGTTTACAGTAACACGCTCAACATTCATCATGTCCTACACTAACACACTCAAATTCATCATTGTTACAGTAAAACCACTCAACTTTCACCCAGGTCCTCACTAACCCCCTCAAAACTTTCATCTGTCCTACACAACACACTCAACATTCATAGTTCCTACCAAAACACATCAACATTCACAGTGTTTTTACAAAACCCCCAAACATTCATCAGTGTCCCCCATAACACACTCAACATTCATCATTGGGTTTACAGTAACACGCTAAACATCATCAGTGTCCTACACTAACACATCACTTAAACAGTGTTTTTAAACAGTAACCACTCAAATTTCATCGGGTTCCACACAACACGCTCAAAAAACCCACAGTGCCACACAAACACGTCAACATTTCATGTCCAACATAACAACCAACATTATCAGTGTGTTACACTAACACACTCAACATTCATCAGTGTCCTACACTAACACGCTCAACATTCATCAGTGTCCTACACTAACACACTCAACATTCATCAGTGTCCTACACTAACACACTCAACATTCATCAGTGTCTTACACTAACACACTCAACATTCATCAGTGTCCTACACTAACACGCTCATCATTCATCAGTGTCCTACACAACACACCAAAAAATTCATCAGTGTCCTACACTAACAACTCAACTTTCATCAGGGGGTTTACAGTAACACACTCAACATTCACAGTGCCCAACACAAACCACACTCCTTTCCCCCTTGTCCTACACTAACAAAATAAAAAATTCATCAGGTCCACATAACACACCAACTTTTCACGGGTGTGAACAGAACCCTCAACATTCATCTGTCCTACAAAAAACCCTCAACATTATCAGTGTGTTACAGTAACACACCAAACATTAAAATTGTCCCAACAAACACTAAAACATTCATCAGTGTGTTACAGTAACACGCCAACATTCTTAGTGTCCTACCTAACACACCAACATTCACAGTGTTTTACAGTAACACACTCAATTTTCATCAGTTCACACTAACACGCTCATCTTTTCACAGGTTTTACATAACAACACCAACATTCATCAGTGCCCCACCTAACACACTAAAACATTCATCAGTGTGTTCAGTAACACCTCAACCTTTCATCAGTGTTCAACAAACACCTCAACTTTCATCGTGCCCTACACAAAAAACACTCAACATTCATCATGTCCTACACTAACACACCAACATTCATCATTTTTTTACAGTAACACACTCAACTTATCATTTCCCACAACACCCCAAAAAAACATTCATCAGTGTCCTACACTAACACACCAAATTCATCGGCCCCTACACTAACACACCAACTTTCATCATGTTTACATAAACACTCAACATTCACAGTGTCCTACACTAACACACCAACATTCTCATTGTTACGAAACACACTCAACATTCTCATGTCCACACAAAACACTAAACATTCATAGTGGTTACAGTAACACATCAACATTCATCAGGCCCTACAAAAACACACCAACTTCATCATGCCCTACACAAACACACTCAACATTCATCAGGCCTACACTAACACACCAACATTCATCGTGTCCCCCACTAACCCCACTCAAAATCAAAAGTGGTTTTTTACAGTAACACACTCAAAATTCATCAGTGCCTACACAAAACACACTCAAACTTCATCAGGGTCCACACTAACACACTCACATTCTAGTTGCCGTAACACACCAACATTCATCAGTGTCCCACAAACACACTAAAATTTCATCAGTGTCCCCTACACTAACACACAACACACATCAGTGTGTTACTTAAACACCTAAAATTTCATCAGTGTCCCCCCAACACATAAACATTTTCAGGTCCTACACAAAACACACTCAACTTTCACGTTTTTTTACAGAAACACCCCAAAAAATTATCATTTAACACTAACACACTCAACATTCACAGGCCCTACACAACACAACCCTCATCAGTTGCAGAAAATTCCTTTTCCCTTATACCAATTAGTTTTTACTACAATTTTTTTTAACATATGTTTGGGAGCACGGTTTAGAGGGTGGGGGGGGGGGGGAAAGGGGGGGGGAGAAAAATTTGGAGTGGGTAAGGGAGGGGTGAGAAAAGAAGGGGGAAGGGGGAGAGAAAGTGGGAACGGTGAGGAGGTGGAAGGGAGAAAAGATGCGGATGGAGGGGTGGAAGTTGGGTGGTGGAAAGGGAGGGCAAAGTTGTTTGGGATTTAAAAAAATTTTTCGTGAACGCAATTTTAGTGGAAGTTTGAACTAGCTGGTGAGTTATCCAGAGAGTAATAGGGAGGACTTGCTCTTGGCCTCTTTATGTGGTCTCCAACATGAAACCCGAGGAATTTATAACGCTCTGTATTTTCTGGCTTTTCTTAAATAATTTTGTAAATATCCTTTGACTAAGCAGTCTTGTTTGGTTCGGTGGGTAGCTTGGAGCAACCTTCAGTTATTCCAGGGGTCAACGCCCCCGCTGCCTGGTCCCCCCAACCCAAAGATCCCTACTAGGCTTCCTTTGTCAGGGCCTGATCATCCAGGTTTTACGGGTCCCCCGCACACAGCCAATGTACTACCACACCCCGGCAAATAAGAAATGACTAAGAGCCATTTTAAAATTCCTCTCAAGACAACAAGGGCTTTTGTATGGGGGTAAAACAAAAGGTTAAACCGTGACGGGGAAAATCAAAAATAACCCTCACAAAAAGAGGAGCTTCGACGACGTTTCGGTAAACATGAACCTATTTTCGGGTTATTTGTGTTATTTATGGCGGAAGGCTGTTAAATAGTCTTGAGCCCCTTACACTTAATGTGTTCAGTGTTCTCATGGCACTCATGCTCTTCATTGGGGGTATATCATTCCGTCTGCCAAGCCTTTTGCTTTCGTGGGGAGTGATTTCTGTGTGAAGATTTTTGACAAAACCCTCTAGGATTGTCCAGCAAAATTTATGATGCATCTTTCTCGCCTTCGTTCCAAGGAGTACAGGTCAAAGGATTTCAAATGTTTCAAGTAATTTAAGGATGTTGGCTGAACTTATAAGCGGAGTGAAAGATCTTTCTACATTTTCTAGATCTGCAATTCCTTTTCCCAAATAGAAGTTAATGTTTAGCAATATTCCAGATTAGAGAGAACAAATTACTTAAAGATATCATCATTGGCTTGGCATCCATTGTTTTGAAGGTTCTCATTATCCATCCTTTCATTTTTCTAGCGGTTGTGATAATGACTGTTATACTTGAAAGTGAAATCAGTGAGCATTGTCTCTCCTAGGTCCTTGACGTTAGCTTTTTGATTTACTTGATGATTAGAATCATTTTTATACTCCATTCTAGCTTTCATTTCCTAAATTTTTTCATAAGAGAGCAACTGAAATTTGTCCTCAATGAACATTATGTTCTTTTCTGTGGCCAACTGGAACACTTTTGTCTGTATCATCTTGGAGATTTGCTGTGTTCTGAATCGATGTCACTTTCACGGAAATTCTAGTTTTGTCTGCAGTGGGTGATACAGTGCTATGATTTATGTTCCTGTCTGTGTCAGATATAAAAATGAGGAAAATGATAAGACGAGTACTGTGCCTTGGGGAACAGAACTCTTTCGTTGTGACAGTGTTCGGCTTAACTTAGTTTATTATCACTTTGCGTTCGTTTGGTTGAAGGTTGAAAATCTATCTGCCATTTTGTTTTGAACGTATTTTGTGCACTATTACACCACGATCGCACTTGTCTAAAGCAGTTGCAAAGTCTATTCCCGCAATGTTTTTTTGTTTTTTGTCTTTCAATGCTTCCAAAATCATGTCGAAGTGGGGCAGTAGTTTAGACAGCCAGGAGCGACCTGCTCTAAACTCATGCTGCCCTGGGTTACGCAGTTGTTTTTCTTTACTATTGCTTTGCTGCCACATTTGTGAAGCAGGACTGTATCTATTGTTTTTACCTACTGTGGAATAACCTTTGTTTCTGCTCTCTCTACATAGAGTATTTAAGGCACGTGATAGGGACTTCTTGTAGTTTTTTGATGAATATGGAATTCCATGAGTATTGGGCTGGGGCGCAGTGCATTGGCATGTTGTCAGTGACATCCAGGGCAAGAGCAATTAGAAATCTGTGTGAAGAACAGAAGGGTTGGTAGAGCATGTGTCGAGATTAGCAGAGTACTGAACCTCCACCAGGCTTTACAAACCCTCAAGATCATTATTGTAAACACTTTTCTTTTCCTTCCCACAGCGGTGGTGACTTCGACTAGGGGAGAAGGGTTAATTCCGCCTCCTCCGCTCGTCACAGATCAACCCTACTTTGACTCGTCGATGCTCAAGAATCAGACAGCACATGTCGGCAGACAGGCAGAGCTTCACTGTCGCGTCCACTCCATCGGTAACAGAACGGTGAGTGTGGTAGTGGTGGTAATAATTCAAGTGTTGTGTGATCAGTTATTTGAAGTTGAAGGAGTAGTGTAAGCAAGTTGTAAAATTCCTACTGTAGTAGAGAGTAGAGAGTAGAGAGTAGAGAGTAGAGAGTAGAGAGTAGAGAGTAGAGAGTAGAGAGTAGAGAGAGAGAGAAGGGGGGGGTAGAGAAAAGGTGGACTTTGGGGAGGAGAGGGAGCACATGGGAAAGGCAGACAGCAGAAAACTGCTGAGGACTATCGACTGAAAAGATGGACTTTGGGGAGGAGAGAGAGCACAAGGGAAAGGCAGACAGCAGAAAACTGCTGAGGGCTATCGACTATCTTGATTGAAGGCTATTTTCTGGAGGATTAATGAAATTGACCTGACACGCTGTGTGGGAGTATGTACTGATGGAGGGATGCCAATGACAGGGAAGCATAAAGAACGTGTAGTTCACATCAGGAAAGTGGTTCCATCAGAGTCCTGTGTACGCTGTAATGCTCACAGAGAGGCGGCCCTTACCGATGAAATAATGTCAGATGAGCTAATATCAGTGCTCATTCGTTATTCGGAGAAAATGGCAAACTACATCAAAGCTCATCCACTAAAGTCAAGGATTGTTACAACTATACAACGAAACGGGCAGCGAGCATGAGACACTTCTACACAGTGAAGTGCGCTGGTTGTCACGAAGGAGAGTTTCAAACTGATGCGTCACGTTCAGCAACAATTTGTGGGATAGTTTTACTTGCCCTTGCCTGCAGGAAGAGAACTGGTCAAAAAATAACACACCGACAGACATTTTTTTAAGCTCTGAATGTACTGAATTTAAATGTCCAGAGTGTCAGCTCCACAGTGCTCCAAACCTAAGAGACGGCAGAAGAAATGATAAAAAAAAAGGAACATTTTGGTTAGCCTACGTAAATGCGAATTCCTTTCAATCCTTTCCAAAGCTTTTGTATAAAACTCCTCAAAATAATTGGAATCATCTTAGATGAACATATGAAAGGTCATAATTGACGACTTCAGGCATCATAGCCAGCAGCTGCGGAGGGACAGGGACCCGTCTCGGCCATGGATACGAAATTGATATCAAATTTCTCCCACTGTCCCACACCTGTCATTTCACGAACAGTAGCAACTAATGGAGTTTTCGTCGGATGGGGGACTGCAAAATCAATTCAAACGAAACCCAGTCGTGGATTTCTGGTCACTAGTCATGGAAGAGAACCGGACTCATCCAGGCGAACCTTGAGGGAGTAGAGGACCTTCTCTGAGATGGTCATATACGTGGCCAGTTCTTTTGCGCTCACAGCAGTCAAGACACAGTATTGCTAGAGGATGTATGATTGTATGCTGAGACAGATTAAGAGTGAAAATATACTCAGTTGCTCCCAACATCGCTGACCTTCGCTGAGAAATAAAGGCGCACTGACAGGTAAGCAGCAACACACCAATATTATAATCTTTTATTAATAAGTTTCTTATTTTTCCATTATCATTCATATTCATGAGATGTAATAATGTTGGCTGTTTAAAATATTCGCGTTAATTCTTTAGTGCAACTGTAAACACGTAATGTTTAAACTATAGCGAAAGTAATGGATGCGCATAATGTTATGTGACTATGTAAACACATGAAGGTGAGTGACAAAAGTGACGAAGGATGTGCCAACTTAGTCGCGGTGTAGAGTGGTGTGAGTTCGAAAAGGTTGGAACCCCTGATTCAGATAATTAGAAAATTGTTTCCTTTCCTTCCTTCCTTCCTTCCTAACTTCCAGCATGAAACAGGAGAGGATGGAGAAAACATACTATATCGTATTGGAGAACAAATTTGCTTTGATTTTTTTTTTGACACAAGTAAGTTTTAGAGAGTAAGAGCTGTTATCCTACCTCAGCTCATTTCAAAACATTTACAGAAGAGATAGAAGCAGATGAAAGGTTTGTGCAACAATTACCACTATTAATACTCTAACTGCTCATGCTACTCCACTGCTACCCACAGAGCTTATTTGCCATTAATTATGCTTTTTTTTCTAAGGTTACACCTATTTCTGAAAGCCTGTGTTGCAGATGGTTCGGAACCACGGGTTATCTTTATCAGTGTTCGAATTATCACCAGCATCCAGTAGCTACGACTAAGAAACTTAAGTAGATCCGTGTTGCAAGCGGTTTAAAGACTAAGAGAAGAGAGAGGAGGGTGAGAGACGAGAGAGAGAGAGAGAGAGAGAGTAGATTTAGAAGAGAGAAAAGAGAGAGAGAAGAGAGAGAGAGAGAGAGAGAGAGAGAGAGAAGCACCCAAGCAGACAGTCCAGCAGAGCGAGAAATATTGATCTAATGAAGTGTTTGGCTGCTCAAGGCGCATCAACAAGAGGTTAATGAGCTAGACGGAGAAGAATGGTGAGTCTCGAAGATACGAAAGAAGACTACCAGGCAGTGTCAGGGTGGAAGAGCCAGAAACAAGGGTTAACTACAGTAGTCGAGGGTACTAGTAACTCAGCAGTCGAGGGTACTAGTAACTCAGCAGTCAATGCACTCAACAGTCAATACACTCAGCAGTCAATACACTCAGAAGTCAATACACTCAGCAGTCAATACACTCAGCAGTCAATACACTCAGCAGTCAATACACTCAACAGTCAGTACACTCAGAAGTCAATACACTCAGCAGTCAGTACACTCAGCAGTCAGTACACTCAGCAGTCAATACACTCAGAAGTCAATACACTCAGCAGTCAATACACTCAGAAGTCAATACACTCAGAAGTCAATACACTCAGCAGTCAGTACACTCAGCAGTCAATACACTCAGAAGTCAATACACTCAGCAGTCAATACACTCAGCAGTCAATAACGTACTCAGCAGTCAATACACTCAGCAGTCAATACACTCAGCAGTCAATACACTCAGCAGTCAGTACACTCAGCAGTCAGTACACTCAGCAGTCAATACACTCAGAAGTCAATACACTCAACAGTCAATACACTCAGCAGTCCATACACTCAGCAGCCAATACACTCAGCAGTCAGTACACTCAGCAGTCAATACACTCAGAAGTCAATACACTCAGCAGTCAATACACTCAGCAGTCAATACACTCAGAAGTCAATACACTCAGCAGTCAGTACACTCAGCAGTCAATACACTCAGCAGTCAGTACACTCAGAAGTCAATACAATCAGCAGTCAATACACTCAGAGTAGTCAATAACACTCAGCAGTCATACACTCAGAAGTCAATACACTCAGAAGTCAATACACTCAATCAGTCAATACACTCACAGTCAGTACACTCAGAAAGTCAATACACTCAGCAGTCAGTACACTCAGCAGTCAGTACACTCAGAAGTCAATACACTCAGCAAGTCAGTACACTCAGAGTCAATACACTCAGCAGTCAATACACTCAGCAAGTCATACACTCAGCAGTCAATACACTCAGCAGTCAGTACACTCAGAAGTCAATACACTCAGCAGTCAATACACTCAGCAGTCAGTACACTCAGAAGTCAATACACTCAGCAGTCAGTACACTCAGAAGTCAATACACTCAGCAGTCAATACACTCAGCAGTCAGTACACTCAGAAGTCAATACACTCAGCAGTCAGTACACTCGGAAGTCAATACACTCGGAAGTCAATACACTCAGAAGTCAATACACTCAGCAGTCAGTACACTCAGCAGTCAATACACTCGGAAGTCAATACACTCAGAAGTCAATACAATCAGCAGTCAATACACTCAGAAGTCAATACACTCAGCAGTCAATACACTCAGAAGTCAATACACTCAGAAGTCAATACACTCATCAGTCAATACACTCAGCAGTCAGTACACTCAGAAGTCAATACACTCAGCAGTCAGTACACTCAGCAGTCAATACACTCAGAAGTCAATACACTCAGAAGTCAATACACTCAGAAGTCAATACACTCAGCAGTCAATACACTCAGAAGTCAATACACTCAGAAAGATCAATACACTCACAGTCAATACACTCAGCAGTCAGTACACTCAGCAGTCATACACTCAGCAGTCAGTACACTCAGAAGTCAATACACATCAACAGCAGTCAATACACTCAGCAGTCAGTACACTCAGAAGTCAATACACTCAGCAGTCAGTACACTCAGAAGTCAATACACTCAGCAGTCAATACACTCAGCAGTCATACACTCAGAAGTCAATACACTCAGCAGTCAGTACACTCAGCAGTCAATACACTCGGAAGTCAATACACTCAGAAGTCAATACACTCAGCAGTCAGTACACTCAGCAGTCAATACACTCGGAAGTCTATACACTCAGAAGTCAATACAACAATCAGCAGTCAATACACTCCAGTAACGTCAATACACTCAGCAGTCATACACTCAGAAGTCAATACACTCCAGAAGTCACATCACTCATCATCAAATACACTCAGCAGTCAGTACACTCAGAAGTCAATACACTCAGCAGTCAGTACACTCAGCAGTCAATACACTCAGAAGTCAATACACTCAGAGTCAATACACTCAGAAGTCAATACACTCAGCAGTCAATACACTCAGCAGTCAGTACACTCAGCAGTCAATACACTCAGCAGTCAGTACACTCAGAAGTCATACACTCAGAGTCATACACTCAGCGTCAGTACACTCAGCAGTCAGTACACTCAGCAGTCAGTACACTCAGAAGTCAATACACTCAGCAGTCAGTACACTCAGCAGTCAATACACTCAGCAGTCAATACACTCAGCAGTCAATACACTCAGCAGTCAGTACACTCAGAAGTCAATACACTCAGCAGTCAATACACTCGCAGTCAATACACACTCAGCCAGTCAATACACTCAGCAGTCAATACACTCAGCAGTCAGTACACTCAGAAGTCAATACACTCTAGCAGTCAATACACTCAGCAGTCAATACACTCAGCAATCAATATTTGAAATCGACATCCGAAGTGATTGACGGAAAGATGAGAAGAAACAGTATTAGCATGTTACAAAATAAA